GAGCACCGATACCACCCTCAGGAGCTCCAGTCGCTCCAAACCGCAGCTGATCTTGCCGACAATGGAGTCTGGAACGCCACCATTTCATGTGTTTTAACTTATGCATCTATTATTAATTTTAATAAAGGTCGGGTCTTGCGTAAGTTTCCTGCTGGAGTACTTCGTGGAAAATTTCCCGGTTTGGCTTGGTGGAGGCATTTAGCTGGCTTTCGTCGATCCTATCGGTCTCCAGTAAAGACGTGTAAGTTCCTGTAAAGCTATGCAATAGCAGGAACTTTGCTCACAATTGACGAAGTGTCTACAAGTCCCAGCAAGGTGAAACCTGTAATTTAACAGAAACTAGGAAAAGGAGCTAGGGGAAGTACGGAACGCCCCTCCCAAGCCGAAAAACGGCTATTTCTCGAGCCTTAGTGGTCCAATTACAGGGACGAAAGACAACAAAAAAAAAAACACGCTGTAAAACATGCTCTAGATGGCACTACGTGCACCAGCACAGTCCGGATGCTGAATCTTGGATTCACCTGATTAACTTTGGACAAGCCAAGCTTTCCATGCGTATCAGGGAGGGATAATTGATACCCGACTCATCTGGGAGGTAAAGTCACTGACAGTGTATTAGGTTGGCGGGAAAGTTCTGTCATATATTTTTGAACCCAAAATATTTGCTAATTTTCTGAAAAGCGTTAACCGGTAATATGAGCACTTATACATCAAAGAATGGTCTTTCTATTGGTATCACTGGCTTGACTCCTGCCTCTCCTTATCGTGCAATATGAACAAGAATGTTATCCGCTACCTTTGGCACCGACCCCTCCAAGTGCTTCCTCAAACTCTTTCTTCTACCGCCCTGGCGCCAGCATGACAGCTGTCGACGCCGAAATAACGGAGCTGCACATGGACAATGTCTACAGTCATCTGACAATCTTCCACGACGCTGGCTCTTCAGAGCGGGAGGCTACGGTGCGAATGGCGAAGTGATGTTTGGGAGTACCTGTGATCTCAGCTTGAGATAGCTGTGGGCCGGGAAACTACTGTATAAAGAAGCTGTCTCCTCGGTTAATCCGTACGCAAGGCAGCTACGAGATCTGAAGCGAATCGTCAAGCAGAGGGCAAAATCCATCGGCACAGTCCGTCTTCAACGTGCTGGTGCAGCACACCCCGTCAAAAAAGTTCGAGCCGTACTTCATGCAAAAGAGCTGGATGGCTCTCCCTCTGCACTGGTGTACCCCAGACATTGCTCTTTCTGACTGCTAGTCGCCTCCCGTATTTAACCGTTATACAGCCGAGAAAACCTCCACGACTTGAGCCCAAGTCAAAGTTGAGATGATGTCCAACATTGCGTCGTGCCAGCCTCCATTGTGAAGCGATGGCATCCACGAAGTGCTCGAAAACTGGCAGGGATTCCGCAATGACATTGCTGTATAATTTTGATCTTGTACGCCTCTCTATAAAAAGAAAGCCTTGTTTGAAAAAATGTGACAGAACTTTCCCGCCAACCTAATACATCGACTGGCTGACTCAGTGTAGGGGCCAAATCTCACTTGATAAGCGTAAATAACCGCTAACCCTTTAGCTCTTTCTGTGTCCGACTGTGAGTAGGGTAGAGCGACGGGTAAGAACTGACCACATTCTCTTTATCAGGGCTCACCTTAGTGAGAACGAAGAATGGGGCAGTTTCGGCGACGGCGAGGGGCATTTCGCACTTCCGTTGCTTCACTAGTTCAGGTTTATAATTCTTACTCTAGTGGAACCTGATAACTCTTGTGAATTTGGAGCAAACTCATCTGGTCACCACGGTAGAACCTGCCAACCATTGTAAGCTCACGAGTGAGCTGCGAAGTGCGCAATGCCCCCACCCACCCCCCGCCGCCCCCCCCCACCCATTCCATCGAGCTGCTCTTGTCACGATATGGCCTCCAGGGTTCGCCTTCAAGAGAACTAGCCATGTCAGACAAAGTTCCAATCGGTGCAAAATCCTGTTAACTACGACCTCCTCAAACTTTCTTCCTCTGTACCACCCCCATCGCAACGTACTTCCTTAAGTTCTACCAAGGACAGGAGTGGGAGGGAGGGGAGCACGCACAGGTGAAAAGAGGAAAAAAATCTCACGCGCACAAAATTCTTCTCCTGGCGCGTGAACACTTTCACGTCCCCCTCTGTTGTATTTTTTCACAGCGGATGCTGTGCCCCGGCTGCAATAGACGGATGAGTTGGGCAGCCGCCTCTTGCGGTGACCCAGGCGGTGCCTTTAGCCGACGACTGTATACCAACATTCAGAGGAGCCGTTTACAGTTTACACTGGAAGCCGAGCCATTCGTCAGTCGACCTGTCTTAGCTGACGAATTGATTGATCTTGTGGAATTCCCCAAGAATAACTTGATAGCGGGAAGCGATAAAGCCGCTTACAACATCTGTTCAACCATGACCGTTTTTCCCCTTTTACTCCTCTCACAATCATTTATCCGCCGTCGAGGAAACACTTCCAAGAATCTGGTAACTGAAAATATGAGGTGTTCAGGGGATGTGTAAGCGGAATTTATTACCAAGAAGTGGTAAGGCTGCTTACAACATCCGTCATCTCCCACAGTAATTTTTATTCGCTCAAAATCATTCATTACACTCACGTGGTAGAAATTGCAGATCGTGAGAATTTCCTCAAGAACCCTGACAAAAAGAAATTCAAGATAACTCCTACGTTCTGTTTAGCCGATATGATAAGCAAGAACTGTTTCTGAGGAAAAAGAAAGGAAAAAGGATGAATACAAAAAGAAAATTTTTCTCATGTATTTTGTCCTCAAACAAAGCAAAACTGATTAGAAAAGTTCTTCAATCACAGTGCAAGTTGGATTTATGGCGCATCCCAAATGAATCAGTATGAGCCAATACGAACTGATCGTCTTATCGTTGACTCTTCGAAATCCAAGGAACAAAAACGATTCACTTTGGCCGTAAAAACCCCTAAAATCTGGCGACCCGAAATAGCGTGTTGTCTAAATCGGAAGTGCGTATGAACAATGCTACAGCTCAAGCTACACTTGGTGGCCAAACTTATGAACCATATTTCTCCTGTGAACAAGGTTCCCTTCCATGTTGAGAAAGAGCTGAATATGGTGGCATCTGGCATAGAGCACATCATTCCTGCATAAGGCCTTCACAAGCGGGCTGGGGCTAACTTCGATTTGTGAGAAAGTGTTCGCGTCCATTCTAATTGTTCCTAAGCCCTCCTCAGATATCATAGAATTGTCGTCAAGGGTGGAGGATGTACTGATTTCGCAGCACAGAAATACGAGAGGATGGCCCCCACCCGCTTGGTGAAGCGCATGCCACCCCGCCCCTGGCCTCCCATTAAACTGCTTTGGCTTTAGTCTTTGAAGCTGAGCCCACTTTCAATGAAGACGTAGTTATAGGGCAGCACATATAATAAAGTTATCTAATGCGTCAAGAAAAAAAGCCAGAAAAAAATCATGGAAAATACCCTATGTAGAACCTTATTCTGACTTAGCGTGAGCGGGTGCGCGTCGACTCTTTCCAATAGCCGAACGGAGCTGATCCTCCCGCCTTTTAGCGATGCAAAACTCAGTAACATCTGCCTAATCCTTTATACAGGGAGGGACTGTGACGTTCAGAGAGGGCATAGAACAATCAAGTGAAAGTGGGCGCTGCTTTAACTCCGGTGAAAGCGGCGTGCTAAGAAATAGAGTAAGAAGGACAGAAGATAAAATCGAACAAAAAAAGTCTTACCCTACCGATTCCATCGCAATCTCTTTGGGATGTGGCACGCCAACTCTACATCGGTTCGGACAGTAGCTGCGCATATTGAAAGAGCGATGCGGCCTATACAATAGACCTAAGGGGAGCCAGCGATGCAAGAGACTTGCTAACCTTATTCTACCAGGACGATCTGCCACCGATCACCTTCCCCAGCGGGTTAGAAGCTTGGCTGGTCCGGCGGGAGCAAATTCGAGATTGACCTTCGGACTCGGTGCGTGCCAACTTGCCACCACACCATCCGCCCTCAAATGGTTATGGAATCGTTAGTTTTGATTCTCCCTTGATTACGGTATTTATGCTTCACTAGCAAAGAGTTGCAGAAGACCTTCGCGTAATCAATTTCTAAGCGGAAGTTGATCGGAGCGATCTCAAACAAGTACTCACTTTTCGTCGTTGCAGCCATAGCCTTTCAGAAAGAACGTATGCAAAATGATATTCCTCCCTCCCGTGCCTCAGCAGTAAGCGGTAAGAAAGGTAGACCGAACTGAAGCACCAGTAAAGGTGACAAGCGATGGGTGGGGAGAGCGTAGAAGTTTTACTGAGGAGCGGGCACATCATTTCAAAGGAACCTCTGCACTGGTAGCCATATCTGATTCACCTAAAGCAGGAGCCATATTTGCTCCGGGCGCCTATCAGCTTAGCTGCAGGTGTCCAGTTGAAGGCATCTGCAGTGCTCGGTAGGGACCAGCGAAATGCCCCCACAAAGCAGAACCGCACCTTTGTTTCGTTAATATGACCATTAATGTGAGTGAAGTGACCAAGAATGCTAAGAAGCGGTATTTTCTATACGTTCCGGAATGGGAAGGGACTGCCCGATTGGGCTCGCTCAGTCGTTTGACGGTTGAAGAATGAACTACTTCCATCAGTTTGGTGGAAATGAACTGGCCAGCCGACTGAAGACCTGGCACACCCCGATCACTGACCGTTTTAGCTACTAGATCCCAGTAGTCATGGCTTCTTTTCCTGAACTCTCAAGAAATTGGACAGTCGGCAATAGAAGACTAATTACTCTCTACTGGTCGCTGAAAGCTCTCTCTATCATGTAATACTCGCGTTATCAAATCACATTTCCTGGCCATGTTACCCTGTGGCATGTAGCTTCTTTCAACTGCTGACCCCATGCGCTATCAATCGTTGTTTGATAGCCCTCATCGCTGTCATCTGGCCGTCTCCCGCGGGCCTAATGGCAGCCACGGTGCTTAAGTGCTCCCAGTAGGGCCGCGCACATAATGTCTGTTGCTGGGGCGTGGCCAAGCCGGGGAATAGGCGGGTCCGTAGGTAGCCGAACTCTTTTCGCCTTTTACCCGCGGCAGCATCACGTCATGTCGGATAACGTGAAAAAGCCCAAATCGTCTGTTTTACTGTATTTGCTGCTTGCCGTTACTGCATTGGTCCTACTATGTGCTGCCACTATTGTGTATTTGGCCCTTGGGAGTCGAACTCCTGAACCGATCCATGCTGGGAATGCCACCAGTTCGTCATTGTTCCTTGTTCCGAACATTACGCAGCCAAGTAGTACTGTCAGTACTACCCGAGCCACCACGCAACCACCTCAAACTACTCAGAGGCAGCGGATACGACCTACAACCTCTGCAAATCCCACCACCAGAGCAACAACAACGCTCACCGCAGCAGCTATTACGCCAACGGGTAAGTTTTTTTAAGCAGTGATTGTTGTGTAATGTTGTTTCTGGACGATTAATCACCACTAACAACAGAGAACGACCTGTGATCTTTAGATGGTCCTACAACGACTGAAACCGTTACGGTAGCCGTTTTGCCTAGTACATTACTTGAGCCGACTTTCACAACAGAAGCTACAAGTACTACGGAAGTGTCAACGAGTCCCACAAGCACCACAACTTCGACGACAACCACAACTAGCAAAACGATCACATCAACGCCTTTCATCGACGAGAATGCCAAGGTGGGCGGAGATTAAAGTTTTTCTTGGAGTATAAATTTTGTAAAATTGTTTATTGGCAGGTGATTGACAAGTGTTCACTGGTCGTCGCCGAACGTGTCACCTGTCCAAAAACGCGAGACGATGTGGTGTAAGTGGTGTTTTTGACAGTTGTCCTTTTTCACCTGCTTATAAAAATCAATAGAGCTTAATTTTTCTTGGCTTTGACCGAGCTGAAGGCTATCTCAATCTCAGTTGGAAAAAAAGCCACTATCTCACTATACTACTTCTCAGTGTGAAAAAAGTTAATGTAGCATATGTAATGACAAAAGAATCCCGCCAGTTTAGAGCTTTTTTGCATTTTCACGTTCGTGTTTCCCTCGATACAGCAATGAATATTTAGCGCAGCTTGGCTTTTGATGGCGGCAGAAATGGTACTCAGCCGAAGCATGCGTACAGCCACCTTTCTGAAGTGCTTAAAGACCAAACTGGCCCTCCTTGTCCATTCCGCAGCTTCACAAGGAGTTCTGCCCTTAAGGTCTTACATGAACGTGAAGTTTAACACTAACAAGCAAAAAGCAAAGAGAAGAACGCACCCTCCCCCCTCCAAGCCGAACAGCCCCACCGGGAACTTTCTTCATCGTCCCGTTTTACATCTTCTTTCATTTCGTTCTGCTTCATTCACTCATTCATTCATTCATTCACTGATTCACTCCTTCTTTCTTTCGCCTTTTCTTTTTATTTTCTGATTTCTTACTGAGTTTTCGTTCATTCATTCATTCATGCATTTCCTCTTTCTTCCACTCATTTATTCTTTTTTTGATCTTCCTTTCTTTCCTTCCTTCTTTTTTTCCTTCTTTCCCTCTCTCATTCATTCACCAGTTCACTCTTCTCTTCCTTTCTTATTTTATTAATTTGTTTAGCGCCCGATAATAGCGCTTTAATCAGTAAGCTGAGTGCGGTAACAATCCCTTTCTTTCTTCAACTCCTTCCTTCTTCATGCCTTCCTCCACTTCTCTTTTCTTCTCGTTTTCTTCCCTGGTCTCATTACATAAAACCTGGTCTGATACTGAAAAAGCACAGGAATACTTTACTTATTACTCATTCTTTGAGTAATCGATATATTGATCTGTATGGATGACCGTGAAAATTCCACTTAGGATCAAACCCTCATAAAAAGGCCACTAATAGCCAGCTCTTTCTTTCGAGCGTACTGGGCCCAGTGTCCTTTTTTTCTTCCACCTCGCCCTCATTCATTATCGCCCTTTCTTTCATCCTTCTTTTTCTTCCCCCTTCCTTTCATCTTCCTCCTTTCTTTGTTTGCTCCAAACTGCAGCAGTCACAAAAAGCCGTGAACAAGCTTGAAGTTCAGGATCTGAAGAACTGAACCAGAGGTTGCGACGTACTTTATAAGTGATTAGAAGAATCGGTTCTTCACAGACAGGTCTTATCCACCACCCTCAAATTAAGTTCCCCCCCTCAACAAAGAATTTTCAGCTTTCTGACTTCCGTTTCCCCACCCCTTACATCTGTTAGGTAACAATCTTGTCTACAGATGGAGTGGGGGGGACACACTAGCGGAACATGTGAAGTCCTCAATAGCGCAGGCGCTCTTCGAGACATCTCGTTTCACTGCTTCCACAGAAATGAGGGCTAGCCTTCATTTGAATGAGCTGCATGAGCTGAGCAATATGAAGCCTTTCAAGCCTTGAATGTAAGTCACTCACTTGGAATGACAAACAATTTTTAGAGCAGCTCGGTTCGGTGGGGGCACCAAATGGTACTGAGCGAAGTTTTCACAGCTCACCTCTGAATACCGTAATGTCTTGACGTGACTTACCCATTTCGCGGCTTGATAGGAACCCACAAGTCTCACCAAGGCCTAACCTGTTAACTAACATGAACTAACAAAAAAAACTAGCGAAAGCGCAACATGCCCCTTCCAAGCCGAACAGCGCCCAATTTCAGTAGTTCTTTGTTTTACGCAAGAGAAGTTTTTTCGAATTGCCAAAATTCCTTGCTCATTTGCCAGTATCAAAGGAGTAGTGTGTGACATAGATATCATTTCGGCTTTTCACAAAGCGTTCCTGACCTACCGTATTCCCCCGTGGATCCAACTCCTGTGCCCAAATATCCTCCGGGTGTAGCGTATCGCATATCGAAATCATATGTCATTTGGGCGATGACATGTGTAGTGTGTGGTGTGTTTGTCGTAAATTCGCCCATCCTCAAATGTTTGATGGGTGAAAAGGGATGGAGCGATGAGTGAAGCGATTGTAAATGGCTAATCTCAACCAGCTTGTGAATAGATGAACATGCGTTTCTTATTGTAGGGGATATGGGGCACTGTTCGGCGACGGAGAAGGAGGGGCATTTTGCACTTTCGCTGCTTCCCATCGACATGTCTCTAGACAACTTCTTCCGAGTTGACAGGTTTTACCATGTTGGCTTGACGAGCTTGCTCCAGCTTCACAAGAGTTCACAGGTTTCACCAGAGTGAGACTTGTAAACCGGAACTAGTGAAGCAACGAAAGTGCAAAATGCCCCCCGTCGCCGAACTGCGCTGGGATATGGTACCATAATAAAAGGGACCTGCTGGGGAAAAATGAGGAAACTCTCTGGTGAAACCTTATAAGCTTGTATAGGGTACAAGTTCCACTAAAAGGTTCGACACCGATCAATCACATTTTGGGATGCGCCACACCTAAGATTTTCACTCACAATCGTAGCGGCTCTAAACACGTATGGCCTACATAATGATCTTTGGGGTCACTCGGTGCACAGCTCGGTGAATCAGTTCTACTTGACAGTCCTGTAACCACACTCGAGTTTAGAAAAGGAGGAAGGCTCGATCCATCCGGACAGAAGTCGGTCCAGAAGCACAGCTGATTACTGATAAAAATGAGGGATTGTGGGTGCTGTTCGGGTCGGTGGGGGCACCGAATGGTACTCAGCTAAGCTTGTCCAGGCAACATTGTCGAGACCTGTTGAATCATCTAACCAAGGGGCTCACTTGAATAGTTCCGCATTCTATCCAATTGGCAAGTTGGGAGCAGTTCAGCTTGGTGGGTGCAGCAGATGGTACACAGCTGAGCTTGTACAGGACCCATTCTGAAGAACTTTGAATTTCTGTGAATGAAGTGATTCACTCGAAACTTCACAGGAGTTAACAGGTCTGATCAGAGCTAACCAAAGTGAGACATGTTAGTTAACATCAAATCCCAAAGAGAGCTAGCTAAAGTGCAAACTGCCCCCCCCAAGCTAAACTGCGCTGTATAGAGCATAAGAGGGGCAGTCCAGAGATAAGCAACGGGGGTATAGTAATGATTGCAAAGTCAATGGCAATTAATTATAAGTTGTCAGAGCGCTGTCTCTTAGCACACCCGCCAAACGCGAAATTGAAGGCATGTATACTCGGTCAGTAATTAACAGCCCTTCGGGATGCGCCATGCATTTAAACTTTGTCGGAACTCATAGAAAGTATTTGAAAGCATTTGATTTACGTAAGGAAGTGTGTGATCAACTACAATTCAGTTTATTTGCGCTTGTGCATTCAATCAGTATGGGCGAGAATTGAGATGTTCTGTGAACCTCATACGTTGACTTGATGAGACCCATAGATCCTAGGGACTAGTAACGCCCCCTCTTTGCCCCCATGAAACGTCACTTGAGCTCCAGTAGCAACCCATCTCAGCTGAAGCAACCATATGGGCTGAATTGCTGCAATAGAACACTGAATGGTGTGGTTCCCATCGTGAAACCGCTCAGACGTAGTCCGAAGTAGCTGACAAAGGAAAGAGTGGCACAAACATTGACGCGATGCTTTCTGGTGGCATTGTAGTTCTAGTCGCAGATTTCACGAAGACCTGAGGAATTTCAAAGGAGACGAAAGCTGCGAGAGGTGTCTGAACTAGGGAAAACACCTAGAAAAGAGTTTGGCAGAGGTAAATTGCGAGAACTCTCGCATATGATTCTTGAAATGCTTCATTCAATGGCATTTTCACAGTAAAGTTGTTACGAATGGGTTGTCGTTATTACGGGCCGCATGGTAACTATTCGATGCTGATTATTCTTTTTTTTCCATTCCATAAAATCTTAGACCCTCAAGAACTTCAGAAATCCTGAAGCCTGTCTTTTTCCAGGACACTCTCGCCGTCTGCGTTCTCTCCACTTCACTACGCCTTGAATCTCTCGGTACAGACCGTTCAGCCTACCGTTATCGAGGGTGATGTGCAGATTTTCATCCGCGTCAATGAGCAAGGAAAGCAGGTAGTGTCTTTTGGGTATGTGACAAGAGAATCGCAATTCACCGCGCTGGTGGGCGTCGCGTGCGACGTCGCACCGCAAATGACGATGGTTCCAGTAGTAGATGGCGATAACAGGCAATTCAGAACCCCT